CACGACTTTGTTAACTCGAGCGGGGTTGAATCTCGTCTTGCAAATTTTTATTGAAGCCAGTTTTGACTTGTTAGTTTGAGTGAGGCGAACTTCATCTTGCCAACTTGGGCGAGGTCACTTTGGACTTGTAAATTTGAGTGAGGTCAAAACTTTGTATCGCCAACTTGGGCAAGGTTAGTTTTGATTCGTTAGTTCGAGCGAGATCGAACTTCACTTTCGCGTAGGATGGCCGGGGGCCGCATGGGCGTGAATTCGAATGAGGTCGAATTATGACCCGTGATGGGTTCGAGCGAGGTCAAACATCAATTTGTTAACTTGAGCGAGGTTGAATTTTACTCACTTGGTGACGGCCGGGGGCCGTAAGGGTATAGATTCGAGTGAGGTCGAAATTGTAACCCATTATGGTTCGAGCGAGGTCGAACTTTAACTTTGCTGATTCGAACGAGGTCGGATTTTACTTTCATTTGGCGATGGTCGTAAGGGTGTAAATTCGAGCGAGGTCGAATTTTTACCCGTTATGGTTCTAGTAAGGTCGATCTTTAACTTTGCTGATTCAAACGAGGTCGAATTTTACTCACCCGGTGATGGCCGATGGCCGTAAGGGTGTAAATTCGAGCGAGGTCGAACTTTAACTTTGCTGATTTGAACGAGGTCGAATTTTATTCATCTGGCGATAAGGGTGTAAATTCGAGCGAGGTCGAATTGTTACCCGTTATGGTTCGAGCGAGGTCGAACTTTAACTTTGCTTGGCGACATGCGAGCTCGGTGGAATGGTGAGATTTGCCTGTTACATTGCTCTTATTGGAGAATATTATTCGTTGCTGCATCGTTTATGCGTGCATCGGGGTGAGTCCCGATTTATTTAATTTTGCTTTCATTGGAGAGTATTATGCATCGGGGTAAGTCCCAGTCCATCTAGTTCCTTCATTGACGGGACGGGAGATGAATTCTGTTGCTCGTGCTCCCGGGCACCCTGGGACTTGACTACTTTGAACGAAGTTCGGGCGTGATATGTATTATTTAGCCGGCTGAACCGGCATAGGATTGCCATGGCGAGCGTACGTGCAAACTTTTTGCGCTCATGTTCTGCCTGTGTTGGAGAGATTACGTTTCATGGGCTCACCGCCCAGTCCCGAATTGTGGAGGTTGTTTCTTAATATCGCCGGCTTTTTTTGAGCCATTTGTTTGTTATTCGCATTATGGTACGGTGTGGAGGGTTTTGCTCGACTGTTGCCAGAGAGATGATGTGGCGCGGAACGTTTTCCTGGTGTGTTATTTTGGTGGCGTTTGTCCCTTGTTCGCGCGCCAGGGAGAGTGCTCATGTTCCTGTCCCAATCCAGAAATAGGGGAAAATAACAAGTTAAAACCAAACGAAATCGTCTGTTACCTTGACTTGATAGGCTGGCGAGGTGAGAGGGGCGCTACAGGACGACTCATTTAGTCCCCTCGAATGACGGTTTCAGATTTGGTAGCCCCACGCTTAGCTCTGTTGTTGGTCGAGTTTGGACTTCTTATGGACTGACAACTTACTTCGTCCGGTGGGATCTCGAGCTCGAGTCCCGGTCCGATCCCGTCCGGGGTGCACAAAAGTAAAGGAGACGTAAGTTATATTCCGTACATGCGGGTAGGAAAAGCTTGTTATTTCAAAGAATCATACAACATGATATCGTCCTTTCCTAGGGGGGGGGGGGGGGCAATGCGCATAAAGTACAGATCGGTATCTAATGTAAATATAACAAAGAGGATTGCGGACGCGCTCAGTGGCCGTGATTATACTTTGACAGCTCATAATCACGACGTGCCAAACCCATCACTTCAGCAAGACATGGATTTCGTATAGATAGCAGACTTTAATTTCATCCAAAGATCTGACCAAGATTGATTCGGTTATTTCAAAAGCTTGCCTACGGGTTTCTCTAGTTGGTGTTTGTAAATGAAAGGGCAAGGCTACGACAACCGGGAAGTGCAAACCTAGTTGACTTTAAATCTAGAGAAAACTAAAATTTTGGCTAGAAAGTTCCCCACAGACGGCGCCAAATATTTTGACCAAAAAATGTTAAGCCTTTTGTTAAACTAATTAAATAAGAAGATTTTAGGTAAATCCTAGCCAAAGATAATTTACCCTAGATCTAAGATAGAGGATATGAGTAAGCAGACAAAGCAAGCATAAGATTTAACTATAATATTGCTTAAATCTCATTATATAAGAAGAGGATGATGATTTTCATAACAGTAGACAATAATGAAGAATATATAGATGAAAAAGGTGACCAATCTTTAACGAGATGGAACCCCATACATTAGATATGATGAGACTAACAATATGTATTTGAGGATATGAGCTTCCTTGATTCTTTCTCCTTCGTGAAGGGAGAGAGATGAATATCCCTCCTTCTCTCAAAGAACATGTATGTGTGTGGATTTCCTTCAGTCCCCCTTTCCCTTCTTCTTCTCCCTTAGTTTATATACTAGGTCTTCTCATTTATCCAACAGTCATTGACCACAGTACTTAAGTTCTTTGACTATATTACAGGTTGACCCCTTGAAATGCCGTAATTCGCTGCTCAAACGCTTTGAATACATGCCCTCGGCCATGACCGAGGTGCGCGTCGTCATAGCGTTATATGGATACGACTGTCCAAGTAACTTTTCGTCGTCCATTTCCACGCCGATTCTTGTCTTGGTCAGATTTTGACCCATACAGTAACCATCTTATAGATGCATCTTATGTGGTATACATGGCAGGTGAATGGGCCCATATTCACCGTTGATATTTCCAGCATTCATGGGATTCAATCCCAATTTTAATTGGTCTATTAATTAATGAGAATAAGCAACATAAGAGAATTTGTAAAGAACTTTCTAGTTCTTTAATATTTACCCATGTGGATTCTCTTTTATTTTGCACATCATACTTAAATTAATGGCTAAACCAATTATGCCAATTGGAGAAATTATCAATATAGATAAACTTCAGGTTTACACCATGACGTGTGCAATTATGAATAAACTCCAAATTTATTATGATATGGGTTTTTATATCAACAAACTTCTACTTTATTGTGGCATTCTTTTGTTTGTGTAGTACAAATTGGAGAATAAAGCGAGTAATTTTTCACATACATATTACCCTGCTACAAGTTGTAGTAATAGAAGATATTAAATTTTTTCTTTATTTATAGTCTCAATATAACCAACCGCTTTCGCGAATACCTTAGAAACTCAATTAAGTTTCTTTGAGACTTACTACAACATAATGCCTTATTGATAATCAATTTTATTCCTCCAAAGTAGTAATAATTGGCTCTTCCAGAGTTCTCAATTAATTTGGTACTACCACATATTCATCAACATCAATATGGTGAATATCTCTTTTAAAGAGAAAGTTATATCATTATGGTCATGGTCAGAATTCTATACAAGATATGTTCCTTACATTACTGTTGCCCTTTAATAATCACATCACCAAAATATTTTGGCGTACAATAGGTATGTGACCAATCACCATTCATGCTATTATAATGACATTATTTTCGTATTTTCCCTCAAACCTCATTCTAGAGGTGAGTGTGGTATATTCACTACCACTAGCACGTTCATATTCTTCCAAGAATGAATATGTATTCATAAATCACATGTTGTCACATTCACATCATGAATGGACCATAATCATCCATATGTGCTTTATAAAATCTCATGTCACATCGATGACAAATATTACTTTCACAAAGTGAAGGATTATTTTTTGAATCCTTATTATTCTCATTACCGCAATGATGACGATTATAATTTCGTCTATTGCCACATCCACATGCATAGATACATTCATAGTAATAATTTTGTCTTCTTTCAGACTTATCACATACTGCTATCACATTCTCTTAAGGGAATGAGAATGGAGCAAATTCAATGGGACGGGTTTTCAATTCTTTGCCCACAATCATACATGATTTGATCATGGCAATGCATAAAAAATTTACCACTTTGGGTGGTTATAATTTCTTTCAAACTCCATTAGAGTTACAATCAAAATTTATCGTCTTTGCTTGTATTTAAAATCAAATATAGAATGTCAAGAATTTAAAAGAGAAAAGTAAAGTAAAATACTTACCTTAAATCCAGAATTTAATCATGAAGGAAGTTCATGGAATAATTGACAATCATTATGCTCAATCTCAAAGCTTCTATTCAATTGGTTAGAGCCTCGTGCTGATAACGTGTTATAAAACAATAAAAGAGGAAGAAGAGTATTGCAGAGAAAAGTATAGAGAGAGAGAGAGAGAGAGAGAGAGAGAGAGAGAGAGAGAGAGAGAGAGAGAAAATTCTTATTGCTTTTGGGATGAATTACAATGGAATAGAACCCCTCAATTTATAGGGAAAAAATGGCTTCGTCACCAAGTAACAAATCCTAAGATATCTCCAAAATATAGACATTTACCTTAAATACAATTCTTAAATACAATTCTATTTATAAGAGAAGTAATATTATTAGTGAAAGTCCTTAAATTCTAAAGAACAACTCCTATCTCTTCATATTCATACTTTTATAACTCTTCTTTTCTATAACTCCTAAATGGTTAATAACCATATTCATGACACTATTTGGCATCCTTCTATATAATCCTATTAATTAATAGAAGTATTAGAAGTCATGTTTGAAACACTTGAAAGTCAAAAGGAAATTTTTTATCTGCTCTCTCAATATTCTTATGATTTCTTCCCATATTATTCTTCTAGTAATCTCGTAACTAAAGGAGTAAATGTATTTTTTTTAATTCACAAATATTACTCTGCTAATGTAGACTCTGTTAGCTTTTGTAGACATGAACAAGATAAACACATAAAAGTATACAAAATAAATATTTAACAAATGTTTAAATTATTGCATATAGAACAAAATACCATGCATAGCAAGCAACAAATCCAAAAAAAAAAAAAAAAAAAAAAAAAAAAAACAGACAGACAGAGAGAATAAAACACACAAAAAGAAGAAGAAGAATTAAAAACCAAACTTTATTAGCAAATTTCCTGTTTCTTCCTAAGAAGAATTGTCTTGAATGAACTTGTTGATAGTGAGCATCAACTTGTTGGAAGGATCTGAATTGGGATAAATAGTGAAAAAACCATGTTGTTGTCCTTCAAACTCCACATATTCAATCTTCTTTCCCCATTCCTTCAATCTCTTTGCATAGTCTTCAGCTCTGTCTTTAAGAAGATCACATCCTCCAACAATCACAAGAATTGGGTCAAGATCAATCTTTTCCAAGTCTGGACTGTTGGGCCCAAATGGGTTCACAAGTGGATGGTCAGTTGTTTCCCCTATTGGTATTGATAGCCTCCAAAATCTGTAAATGAGGAAAGCTGCACTGAAATATACTAGGAGTACAAAACATCTACATTGAGAATTTTTGACATTTTAGGACAACATACTCAATGTATTCTCACAAGTAAAGTTTGAAAAAGATAGTATGTATGCAAACAATATTCCTACCTTGTGAAGGTAGAGAGGTTATTTCCTATAGACATTAGGGGGTGCCCTAGCACATAGGAAAATTGTGTCATTCAACTTGCCAACTGTTTGCATGTAACATATTTTGGTGAATTAGACGACCAATTCATTTAAACTTTTGGTGGCAACTAGTAGAAACATTTGGTTACATCTAAAGATGATGCATTTAGCCTAAGTTCTTCATTTTTCTTTTGAAACCCACATAAGCTAGAGGTCCAAGAAAAAGTTCCTTAAACAAGATACGTGCTCATCGAATCTCAAGAAAAAAAGGTGAACTTTAAAGAAGAATCATATGAAAATGCTGATTAGAATCTCCTAAGAAACATAATTTGCCAATGAGAATTTAGAGCTAATGCCTAAACCATTTCGGTTTTGATTTTTAACAAAAACAAAAGAAGATATGTGATTACGGAACTCAATGTAACAATTTTTTTTTTTTTAAAAAGAAGTTAGAATTCTTGAGAACCTGTCAATGAGCTCAATGTTTAAGAAAGCTTCTTTAGGTCCCTCAGCTTCAAACTTTGTCCTTGTAGTCCCTCCAAAGAAAGGAAGCAAATATACATAAGCCCTAACTCGAACCGGCGCCAGCTCGGCTGATCCAGCTTTAAGCCTAACTGCCAAATTATGTGCGATGTTACCACCGGCTGAGTCACCTGAAATAAACACCCGGCTAAAGTCAGCAACATCTGTAAGCCACGTGTCCGGCTCATTAGACACGGCTTGATCTTGGAGCCATTTCATAGCCATGTAACCATCTTCAATGGCAGCTGGGAGCCGGTTCTCAGGAGCCAACCGATAGTCGGGGGAGATAACCACGGCTTGGAGCTCAGAAGCAAGCTTGAAACAATAGTTTTGACAATTTGGCCACGTCCGAGAGCCGATGCAAAAGCCACCCCCATGAATGTAGTAGAAGATGGGCAGCTTAGTAGCCGAAGTGGCCAAAGCCGGCTTGTAGAGCCGGAGTTGAAGATTATGCATGGCGTCAAATACAACATCTTTCCAAAGAACTGAACCATCATCTTGTATTGCTACTTCAAAACTTGGCTTACTTGATCTTACTATAGTTCCATCACTATACACCCTAAGAACACCTCTACATTCTTCCACCTCATGTGGCTGAACTGCACTATTACTGTCCTTCATCACTCTCAAAATGTGTTCTTGCTAGTTTCTGGAGTACTGTGTTTGTTTATGTGTGTTTTAAGATAGAGGAGGCCAGAGGGGATCGGAGAAAACAAAGGAAGAGTTAATAAGGGGTGATTTTTTTTTTGTGTTTTGTTTTGTTCTATTTGGTGATGATAACAAGGACAAAGTATTTTTCAAGTACTATTTTGCAAAGTTTGTATTTGTTTGTCACATAGTGTTATCACACACGGATTAGCTTTGGCACAGAATAAAATGATGATGGAAGAAATAAAAAAAATTGACAAAAGAAATAAGTTTATGTGCCGGCAAATGCTATTTGACAAGGCTCAATAATCAACACTAGATTGCTGGGATGTAACTATCCTTAATCAATGCATATTTTGTAATTGGAAGCCTATGGAGTTCTCTTCAGATTTGTCTAAATTTCGTAATGATCCGAGCTTCTCATTTGCCCATATTTTGAACCTTTGCACAATAATCAATACCTTGTATATATATATCTCATCTTGAGAAAGAGTCACTTTTTGTTAATTTCACCGATGTTCATTCAACTACCTTTCAATTTCGCTAAAGTCACTCAACTATTTTTTATCACTTAAAAGTAGCTAAACTTTATCATCTATATTATATTAAAAGAAGGATAGTTTGACTTAATATTAAGCCAAGTGGCATATTGAGAACAAGCCACTTGACACTATTAGGGAATCTATTTGTTGGATTCTATTTCTACTAATTTTGAGAAAAATTATTAGTTGATCAAGAGCCATTCAAATAAATAAATAAAACCAAGCCATTCAAGTACACTAGAAAGAGGGATGCAACTTTCTTGAGCATCAATTCGGCTAACAAAAATGTTCTCAGAATCTGTAGGTATCTTTTTTTTTTTTTAGAAAGAATCATTAAGATTTTTTTTTTGGTATATTACACATTAATTTTAAGTTGAAATATTAATTCTATATTTAGTACACGCTTTATATTTGACCTTATTTGCGAATAATATACATTAATACATATATCATATACATTACTATAAGTATTTTTAATTAAATTTTGTGTATAATTTAGTTATGGTAGGAATTCTTTTTTAAGAAAGACTTAATTAACTTGCAATTAGCATTTGTAAAATCGGATTTGAATTAGCATTTGTACTATAAGTACTCCAATTGTGCAAGGTTAGCATTTGAATTTTCGCAATGTAACTTGCTCATTGTAAAATTGTTACTTTTGACATAAAAATCATTTTGGGGTAACATCACTACACATAGACACAAATTTATTTTATATTTTATCTCACGCTTAACATGTCATATGCAACAAAGCATACGAATTTTATATGAATATGCTTCTGAAAGTATGTGAATAAAAATCAACTGATGGTCTTGCCAAATAAATTATATAAATTGCCGGAATAAGGGTAAGAGTATATTTGTGACTGAGATTACATATTAAAGTTGTTTAAATATGCAGTATGGATATTTTTAAGTTTCAATAATGCTACGCCACAAGTCTGCTCAAGTTGTTTGTTGCATAGCTAAACTGTTTTTTTAATATAGAGTTATAACCAAATTGAGAATTTTAAGAATAATAAACTATGGCTACTACTCTTGAGTTATTAAATACTCCTTTTATATTACACAAATCCATCACAAGTATTAGAAGTAAAGATAAAATGACTGATTTAAAATAGCGATCCTAATGAAGGTAAAGTTTGAATCTCTTTACATTTTCACCATCCAAACTTGAGCACTTGGTCAGGATGCAGTAGATTAGCATCACATTTATTTGGCACATGTTAATATAGATCTTATCTTATTTGAATGTTAGTCTGACCTTCATTTATATTATGGTTTCACTCAATCATAATCCTGAGAAGACATATTTGAGTTCTGATACTTTGTATGTCTGATCATGCTTTTACAGCTTTGGACCAAGTACATACACCAGAATTCCTAAACAGTATTAAATGTTCTGGAGTTCCAAATCATTCAATTACTCTAAAGGTTGGTGTTTCTGTGATGTTACTGAGAAATATAGACCAGTCGTCGGGATTATGCAATGGTACAAGGTTGATCATCACAAGACTTGAAAATCGAGTTATTGAAGGTAATATGGCTGGAGAAAAAGTGTTTATTCCAAGAATGACGTTGACTCTGTCTGATGCGAGAATACCTTTTAAGTTCCAGCGACGACAATTTCCAATTGTGGTGTCTTTTGCCATGACAATTAATAAAAGTCAAGGCCAGTCATTGTCTCATGTTGGGTTATTTTTGAAGAAATCAGTATTTACACATGGACAGTTGTATGTTGCTCTTTCACGGGTGACAAGTAGAAAAGGGTTAAAGATTTTAGTTTATGACGATGATGGACAAATAACAAATGAAGCTAGAAATGTAGTGTACAAAGAAGTTTTCCGTAATTTAATTTAATGAGTCTAGAAAAATTGTGGATGCAAACACATGCACATAGGCATTCGGGATGAATATATTTGATCTACAAAAGTGGAGGAAGCGAAACCTAACTGTGCTCTATCACAATTACTTGGAGCTGGTAATAGATCTATATCCTACTGTTTACAAATTGATGTTTTATTATATACTCTTTTCCTTTTATCATCGTTGCTATAAACATTTAGTTTATGTCATTGTGTTGATGCAGGGAAGTAAGAGACAATTATTGAAAGCTGGTAGTTTGCCAATCGGTTGGATGACTTTTTACAAACATACACATGCTCTAGATAGGCGATGGCATGTCCTCGGGGTTGGGGTATTACTCTAGCGTCAACCGAGCTGAAATTGAGTAGGCTGCAGTGATTCATTATGATGGAGTTATGAAATCATGGTTTGATATTGGGATCCAAAAGTACAAGCCATACATGGACAAAACATGTTAGATCTGCATAATACAACTGTATATTACTTAGAAATTTAAATAATTGCAGCTCAAATATTACCATATAAGGAATAATATTATATGACAAAAATATTCATAACAATACGTTATTAAATGATTTATCATTTAATTATTGTGTATTGTTATTGTCTTCTGATCCTTTGGTCTTATGTATCATTTTTTTAGTTAATATTTTTAATTTGGTATTACTATGTTATGTGGCAGTTCACCAGAAGTTTATTACTGCAAAGAGGTATATCACTGCAAAGAGGAATTCTATTTTTGATATTGGGAACAGATTGAGTTCCTAGTTGGTATTCTTTTGTTTATATCCATATGAAATATATTATTATTGTTTAAGTTCTCACTTCAGCATAATCAACTCTTCCACCTGCTTCATCTCTGGTTTGAATAGCTGAATTTATCAGCTCTCCGTAATTTGGCTTTGGACAATGTTCGGCTAATAGACAAAGCCTGTGGAATGGTAGAAATAGTAAAAAGTTTCAATTGCCACAAATGCCAGACAATAATAAGAGAGAGCCTTAGCAGGAAATTAGTTTTTGCATATGCATTGCCCCATACATTTTGATATAGGGAGGAGCTAATGTTTGCCATAATTCATATTCCTTCATCATTGCCACAATACAGAGGACAACTTTTGGGAAATGCACTGCAATATGTCATGAGCATTTGCTACAAAAATATTCTCTTAAGCACATGCTTCATATCAAGCAAATTGTATAGCATCATTATTTTTCGTGGAACATTTATTAGGAGATGGAATGAATGTTTTACTCGAGTCTTAAAATGATTTTAATGTTTGGTTGTAAAGGTGGTATTAACACTAACATATTAAACTTTACAGTGTCGATCGTTCTTTTTACTTATCCGCGCATCGCGCGGGTACTAATACTAGTTATCACTTAAAAGTCATTTTGGCTCAAACCCCTACCATAAATATGACACGACATAAGATTTAATGAGAAAAAACCAAAAATAAATGCCACATAAACTTAAATGGACCATACCCACTTTAGATCCATTTCCCCTTAAATGTAATTTGACCCATAACCAAATGGTTTCGATAAAAAAAGATATTAAATTCCATATTAGTTTAAAATGATTATCCTATACTACCAAATTCTTGCCTTTTCTGTTACATAATGCGCGTTTATAATTATTCTATACTAAAAAACTCTTATCTTGTTTGTATGGCTCATCCGAGTCGTTTTATAACTCTACTGAAGTTAAAATACTATTGTACCCAACTTATATAATATATTTATAATTTTCTAGTGAAGTTAAAATAGTATTGTATCCATCTTACATAACATATGAACGTATCATAAGCATACAAGAATAATAGGTTAATAAGAATCTATTTTCACAATAAACATGCAATTACATACAACTTGTTGCAATTGTTTAGAGGAAAGAAAGATTATATCTGTACGATCAAAACCCCCCAAAAAATCACAAAACCTAATTTTATTAGGGGTGTGCGTTTTTTCCCCCTGTCGAAACCCATTTTGGTTATGGGTCAAACAACATTTATGGAGAAATGAATTTAGTGGGTATAACTCATTTAAGCTTATGTGGTATTTCTTTTTGGATTTTTTCTCATTAAATTTTATGCCATGTAATATTTATGATGGGGTTTGAGCCAAAATGACTTTTAAATAACAATGATAAAGTTTAGTTACTTTTAAGTGACAAAAAATAGTTAAGTGTATTTAGTGAAATTAAAAGATATTTGAATGATCATAAGTGAAATTACCCCTGAATATCTTACATGAAATGGCATAATAAATAGTAAGAAAAAACAACCACCTCTTTTCTGTTGTTGCAGTTAAAATAAGCTCTTATATTATTGCTCTAACATTTAATTTGATGTTTCCATAGTTCTGATGTGGGATCAAATTTATACCCCTGGAACGCGGGATAAGGTGGGATAAGGTGTGAGATTAGATTTATACCATGTTTGATTGGCGGCATATATTAATCCTGAGATAAATTTATACAGTCAACTAAACATGGTATAAATTTAATCTCATTCTCAATATAGGATATCACACCTTATTATATTATTCCACCTCCCAGGTGGGATAAATTAGTCTAAGGATTATAATACCGAGATAATTTAATCCTAGTACCAAACGACCCCTTTGCTAACCAGATGTACAGTTTTTCCAGCATAAATACCACTAAAGCATTAAAAAGGAAAAAGGAAAGAAAAGAAAGAAGACTTGCCCATTCAGAATGCAGTTAAGCCTAAAAATGTACTCTTCGTTGCTGACTTCTCATTATTTCCACATTTCACAGTTCATCCTCATTCTACATTTCACAATACGTGGATGCCAGTTTCATTCAGCATACTGAAAGGATTTCTGGAATGCAGTAGGTCCAGTAAAAAAAATTTCAAAATGACCCATCTTTCAAAAAATTGCAGAAATATGATACTTTTGGGGGGTGATCTTAACGTTTGACCTCCGCTTGTCCTATTGACAGAACTTCAAGGTCAAAAGTTAAAAGTGTTGCCCATAAAACAAATGAGGGGTAACACTTCTTAAATTCAAGATCTTCCACTTTGAGAGCTATTTGTGTAGTTGCCCCTATCTTTGGTATTTTAGGTCCACACATTTCAATTGTTATATTCACAATTAAGCTCCATAGCTATACAGAATAAAACCATTGTAAAGCTGTAGGATGAAAGATGGAAAACTCATTTGAAATAGGAGCATAATATCATCAAGATATGCATTTTCTTACTTCCCATTTTCTCAGTAGAAAGTTTTCTTGATGTTGAAGCCTTGAAGGTTTAAAGATTTTAAAGATAAGGACTTGGGGCTTACCAGTGCACAAAGCAATCCCCGGCTAAGGCAGACGTAGGGGTAGAGCGATACATTTTGGAAAGATACGTAAACAAAATATTTGAACAAATACAACAGCCTCATATCAGTGCTTCAAATTTTCATGTATTGGTGGATTAGCCTCAGAATACACGTCTATAATTACAGGAGAAAAGAGAGCGAGTAGTATAGGTCATAGCCGTTTTGAGTATCCAGAACCAGAACATTTCTTGCAGAATACTAATCCTGCAAAAAGAGGCACCCAACAAAAAGAGATTCTTTTAGCTTCAGAGTGCAGTAACATAGTATATTACACGAACCAATGGATGCAATCATACTCGAGACCAGATATTAGTGAAAGATCACTTGAATTATATGTCATTCATATATCTAGACGCAATTCAGAGTTATCCAATCCGTTACATGTTATAAGCATTCCATATTAACCGATTACTTGAAGTTGGTTGGGAAATAAAATTGCAGCTGAGAGGTACCTGCACCCTTGCAAATTTTGCAGTCAACTAATCCTTTTTCGGTTGTCATCTTACCATCATTGCAAAAGACACACTTCGTACCACCTATGCATCAAAATGAATTAATTACATGAATCTTCTTTCCCTTTAGAAGCAAAATCATACCAGCAGCAACACAATGCATTTTGTAAAAAGAACATGTGTGCACGACTTTATGCTTTTGTGCTTGAGTTAGACCCTTTTGTCAAGCCAGATAGCTTCATTCACCTGTGATTGGTAAAGCTGAAACAGAATTGGCTGAACCAACAAAATGTGCAAACTTTTCTCTCGCTACGCTCTTCCTCCACGAGAGAGAGAGAGAGAGAGAGAGAGAGAGAGAGAGAGAGAGAGAGAGAGAGAGAGAGAGAGAGAGAGAGAGAGACGTAAAGTATTCTCTCCTACTAGCTCACAGAGTTGTTGGCATGTTCCTCTTTTCTGTCCATTAATATAAGCTATAAGACTAGGGAAGAAATGAAGAGTACAAGAAGAACTAGCCTTCTGTTTCCTTCTTTTCAAGTCTTAATCTATTAGTTTTTGTTTAAGTGCAGGGCCATCGCAGTTCTCCTGATAAAGCACACGTAATAACATCCTAAAACAAAAGCAATATACAAATCCATTATAGATTAAGTGCATACCACCTTCTAGGTCTGTCTTTGCCGGGCATGCGTGGCTAATCGAAGCATACCCTTCCACTTGATTATGAAGATAAAGAAATTACCAATATGCTTGTTTACAATTAACAACAACAACAACCCAGTGAGTTTCCACGAATGGTGTCTGGGGAGGGTAAGATGTAAGCAACCTTATCGCTACCCCTATAAGGGACCCCTATCCTGGAAGGGCAGAGAGGCTGTTTCCGATCGCTGTTTACAATTATCTATCAAAATTATGGAAAGATGGTTGTCTGCCAAGACCTAACATAGCATATAAGAACATCTTATAACTAGTTATTGATGCAGTGTTTAAATGGCTATTGGAGGAAGCTGTAGCTTATGGAACAATCCTGTAAAGCTTTACCATGACAATCAGTTGTCATTTATCTAGTTTTGATCGTGATCAGAACTATTACATGATTTTACAATACCATATAAGTACTTAAATTTCTCTATTTAGTACTACTCATAGTTATGAATTGAGGTATCTTACAACTTTGGATCCCTTACACAGTTGGGCTTGGCTTGTACAGACAGTTTCCTCTTAGCTCAATTACATTGTTCTACACGAGGAATTATATATTTAACATCGTTTATAGTTCCAGTAAATAGCAGAATTACTAAAATAAAATGGAACAATAATAGCTTCTTTGAGTTTCATTACTTCATCAAATCCTAATATATTCCCATTACCATTACTGTTGGTGTTTGAAGAGTCAGGGCTGAAGTGGGAATTCTATGTTACAGATTTAAAGGAATCATAATTTTTGGTAAGTGGTAACTATGTCATTAGCAGAATTAATACAACTAAAGTATTGTAAAAAAGGGGTAAAATTGCAAAGAGCATAATTTAAAAGGCTCACCATTTCCAGCACACCTATCACAAGGAACTGGATCTCCCTGCAAATATTAACAAAATCCAACTTTAACTAAACCCTCAGCTAAAACACTGAAAGAAAAGAGATGCAATAAAAAGGAAACTTTATAAAACCCACTGAAAGAAAACAGAGAAAAAATTGTATACCTTGAGGCCAAGAAAGAGGGAGAGAGCAATGGCAGCTAAAACACTGAAAGTGGCAAGAAATGTTTGGGTATCCAAAGGGGGTGAGTCAACACCAACGAAGAGCAAAATGGGGTGATGATGCTTTATTGTGGATGGGAATAGTTGCTGAATTTGGGAACAACATGATGACAATACTGGGATTTCAAGATTTGTTGAGAACTGAGTTATTGGGAAAGAAAATGAAGAAGGACAGCAAGTGAAAGGGCATAGAGATGAACGAATTGTTGAAGAAAAACAAGAAGAGGAGAGAGAATGGAGGGGATAGAGTGAGGAGTGAGAGAGTGTTGTTGCCATTGCAAGTAAATTTGTGGAGCTGAGAGTTCGGTTTATGCTCACTCGTCTCACTCTTGTTTTTCTTTTCTTTTTTAATTTTTATTTTATCTTCAGTTTTGTCATTTTTATGGAGTATATTATTTGTTTCCTCGAGTATTAACAAGTTTTTGGGAGAAAATACATCACTACTGACTTTCTAAAAGGAATTAAGTATCTGAGGATTTTGCATTAACTTATCCAATTTTAAACTCCACCTTAAATTTTAATTTTTAAAAAAAGAGAAGGGGAAGTAGCTCATTCTGCATAGGACTCTTTGTTATACTGTTTTTTAATCTCTCTTTTGGTGTTAACAGATTCATTTTGTTAGGATTGTTATTCACGTTTCTATGTATTTTAGATTCTCTTTAATTTATTACATTTTTCACAGCTTTTATGTACTTGCTATATAAAGTCAACCATATAATCAATACAACACAAGTTTTTCGTCTACATTTATCACTCTTTATGGTATCAAGAGCTCTACTGCTTCAACGAGTTTGATCCTAATCTTTTCTAACTCGCCCACCGCACGAACAAATGGCTCCAAGTTCTTCGACTATTGTCAATACCGATAACACCTCGGATTCAAAGACTGTTATCCATTTCAATCCCGTTACTCAACTTCCCATCAAACTTACCTGTAGCTATAACTTCTCGCTATGGAAGGCTCAGGTGTCCATGCTTATGAGTGGGCGCAATCTCTTTGGTCACCTCGATGCATCGAAACCAACCCCCTCTCAGACTATCTCTACAAATAACCAAGAAGTACCCAATCCTAATTTTGTTGGTTGGTTTCAACAAGATCAGCTCATACAAAATGATGTCTCGGCATCTGTAGGCTCAACAATTTCCAGTACAGTTGCTTCTGCCGCCGATGCCAAAATGGCTTGGGATGCCTTGCATACTGCTTATGCAAACAAATCTCAAACTCGTATCTTTAGTCTTCAAAACCGTCTAGCCTCCCTTTCCAAGGACTCTGGCCCTATTACAGATTATCTCCATCAAGTTCGCTTACTAAGTGGTGAACTTACCACTACTGGATCCCCCGTTTCCAATGAAGAATTGGTTGTCAAGATTCTTACTAGACTTGGACATGAATTTCGAGATCTTTCCGCTGCTATCCGAGCTCGAGATTCAACAATCTCATACGAAGAACTATATGAAAAGCTCATTCTTTCTTTAGCATGAGGAAGCCAAAAAGACTCCTTCTACTCCAATAACTATCAATATTGCTATAGGGACTAGTTCAACTCTTACACATCAGGGATCCAATAGTAATCGACGATCAAATACGCCCAACAATAACAATCTCTAACAACAAAGTAGTAGTCGATCATGGAGCAACAATCCGCAGCCCAAGCGCAACAATTAGCAACAACAGCCTTCCAACAATAATATTTACTGCCAACTTTGAGATGGTAGAGGACATACTGCTCGTGTATGTCGGACACGGTCTCACAATCATTTTCAAGCTCGCGCTATTTACGCTGCGTGCTTCCAAAATCAACCATCCTTCGTGGATCGTTGATAGTGGTGTAACACATCATGTTTTCTCAGACACTTAGAGTTTAGCCACTATGCAAGACTACCATGGTTCGGATGATAGAATCATGGGCAATGGTAATGTCATTCCAATCTCTCATACTGGTAATGTGAATATTAATGCATCAAATCACAAATTCCATCTCCAAAATTTCTCTGCTCTCCGACCATTAAAATAATCTACTCTCCGTCTCTAAGTTTTGTCAAGACAATAACACCTCTATTGAATTCTTTTTTCTGTTTTTATTTTGTGAAGGATTTGACTACAAGGGTGCCTTTGGTTTGCAGATGGACTAGAAATAGGATGTATGAGTCGCCACCAGCGATGTTGAAGGTCCTCCCAAATGCAATGTTGATGTCCCGTACCACCTGTGGAATCGACGATTAGGCCACCCTAATCATCGCACATGAGTAAATTTCTACTTGAGTTTTGCGTTCCAGTTTCTGATTAAAAACTAGTACTATTTATAATTCATGTTATTCCAATAAAAGCCACAGAATGCCTTTCTCAAAAACTTTTTGTACAGTGACAAGAAATTACATTTAATTTATAGTAATTTATGGGGACCGTCTCTGGTATTATCGATTGACAAAAAATGATACTACATTTTATTTGTTGATCAATTTTCAAAATATATGTGGTTGTTCACGCTCAAAGATAAAACAGAAGTTTTGAAAATCTTCCAAACCTTACATCCCCTGCTTGAAAGAAATTTTAACACAAAAATATTATCCTTGTACACTAAGTGTCACCCCCATACACACCTTGGTTCGCTTTAGTTGAACGGATGTAACGACCTGGCCGGTCATTTTGAGAATTTACACCCCGATCCCCTATTAACTGCTTTCCACGTGTCTTTTTCTGCTAATATGATTTGCTGGGATGGTTCATCTTGAGTTTCGGAGTGTTTTGGGACACTTAGTCCACAAATGAAAGTTTAAGTCTTAGAATTTGGACTGTAGTCGGAACAATATGAAGACGGCTCCGGAATAGAATTTCGTCGATCCCGTTATCTCCATTGGGTGATTTCGGGCTTAGGGGCGTGTGCGGATTGTATTTTGGAGGTCCGTAGCTTATTTAGGCTTGAAATGGCGAAAGTTGAATTTTTGGAGTTTCGGGCCGATAGTGGAAATTTTTATATCGGGGTCAAATCCGATTCCGGAAGTTGGGATAGGTCCATAGTGGTGATTATGACTTGTGTGCAAAATTTGGGGTAAATCGGACATGGTTTGGTTGGTTTCGGCATAGGTTGTAGATTTTTGGAAATTCAAGTTCATTAGGTTTGGATTGGAGGGTGATTCGTGGTTTTAGCGTTGTTTGATGTGATTTGAGGGCTCTACTAAGTTCGTATGATATTTTAAGATTGGTTGGTATGTTTGGTTAAGGTCCCGGGGGCCTCGGGTGAGTTTCGGATGCTTAACGGATTTGATTTGGACTTAGGCACTTTCTGAAGTTGCTGAACCTGATATAATCGCACCTGCAAATATGGGACCGTAGGTGCAGAGCCACAGAAGCGGATAGGAAGCCACAAATGCGGAATTGGACTTTGGCAACAGGAACAGCAGGTGCAGCTGGGTAACCGTAGAAGCGAAACCGCATATGCGGCCCCAGCCCATATAAGTGACCTTCGCACCTGCGATGATTTTTCTGCAGGTGCGGGACCGCAGATGCGGCCCAATAAGCGCAGATGCGGAAATCGCTGGGCAGAAAAGATGGTTTCAAGGGTTTGAACTTTGAAGTTTCATAACACAAAATTTGATTTGGAGCTCGGTGGGAGGCGATTTCTTGAGGGATTTTGGAAGAGAACTATTGGTAACGAATTCTAACTCTAGTTTGGATCATATATATAAATCTATTGTTGCTTTCCTCATTTAATTAAGGAATTTGAGGGTGGAAGATTGGAAATGGGGGAAAAAGTTCCCCAATCGAATTTTTGGGTTTTGATCGGGTTTTAGGCATTGGAATTGAATAATTTTTGGACGAGTAATCTCGTGAGTGAATGGGTGTTCATAATTTATGATCTTTACCCTATTTCGAGACATGGTCCTATGGAGGATTTTTGGGCATTTTTCCTATTTTCTTACCCTAGCTTGATTTCATTAGTTAATTAATTACTTGTAGTTATATTTACATTATGCAGTTGGTTTGATTAGATTTGGACCATTCAAAGTCGGATACTCATGGCAAAAATGTGATATCGGGTTGATTTGAGCGGTTCGAGGTAAGTGGCTTGCCTAACCTTGTGTTGGGTAACTTCCCCTTAGGATGTTTGGTATTATTTGATGTGTGAGTGCCGTGTACGTAAGGTGACGAGTAGGTACACGGGATATTGTTGTAAAAATCCCGTTTTTCCTCCTTAATCATAAATTGTTTTCCCTTATTAGATTGCACCACTATGTTTAGTTGTTGAGATTAGATTAGGAAAGCATGCCTACGTGTTTTAATTGCCTATTTGATTTCTGTGCGACATGCTTAGGTAGACCCCTCTTTCCCTCGTGTGTGTTTAGTCTAAATTGTATAATTTGATGTCGTACCCGTCATTTTATCTTGAGCTGCACATTTACTTTGGGACTACGGACATATTCCGGGAGATCCCCCCTGTCTTGCATATTTATTTTGGGACTGCGCACCTATTCCGGGAGATCCCCCAGCACTGCATATTTATTTTGGGACTACGGACGTATTCTGGGAGATCCCCCAGCACTGCATATTCATTTTGGAACTACAGACGTATTCCGGGAGATCCCCCTGTACTGCATAGTCATTTTAGAACCTACGGGACGGTATCCTGGGAGAGTTTCCTGTTGTGGTTACCTTGTTCGGAGCCGTGGGCTCCCTTAACTGTTAATATTATGCAATTTTTTAAATTTTTTTTACCGTAAACTCTATTTATATCTCTTACTGCTTAATTATATATATATATATACACACACACACACTTCGGTAGGGCCCTGACCTGACCTCGTCACTACTTGAACGAGGTTATGCTTGGCACTTACTGGGTACCATTGTGGTGTACTCATGCCCTTTTCCGCACATGTTTTCGTGAGCAGATCCAGGTACGAGCTATCAACCACGAGGTTAGTGCGTGCTTGCTGACTCTTAGGAGACTTCAAGGTATTTCTGCTCGCGTCCGCAGATCCTCGGATTCCCCTTCTATTCCCTCCTAGAGATTTCTTTTTGCTTATCTTCAGACTTTTGTATAGAGCTACATAGATTATAGAAGCTAGTGACTTAGCGATATTCCGGTTCTCGGGGGATTATTTTGTATATGCCGAGAGGCTCTATCTTTGTTATTTACAGTATGTTGTTTTAAGTTTTATAGTAGTGTTTTCTTTAAATTTTCCGTAATATCAGGCTTACCTTATCGTAGAGACTAAGTGCCGTCACGACATCTTCGGAGGGGTTAAATTGGGTCGTGACAAGTTGGTATCAGAGCTCTAGGTTCATAGGAGTCGTGAGTCACAAACCGATTTATTAGAGTCTCGC